CTGTGTTTGTTCTGAATTATTCTGCCTTATGCATATCGCAGACTCTTCCTTTTTGATATTCTCAACTTCTTCCTCTATTACTGCAAATGTGCAGCTTTCAGTTCATTATAAAGACCTAACTATACGCCTTAGTGGAGTTACATGAATGCAGCGAGGCCACAAGAAGAATTCGCCAGCTTCATCGTTTCAAGAAATATTATGACTTTAAACAACGGCTGTTTCGAATATCTGAAATACAAAATGCTTCCTCGGCAAAATGCCTCATGGATTATTTATTTTAGTCTACAAATCGCCTGACTTGGAAATATTGACATTTGGTAAGGTGGTGGAACGCCTGATTAGCTTAGGATATCCGAAGGAATTACGCTCATTCGAGTACAAGCCACTGTTCCCTGTGCGCGGTCTGTGGTTCGACTATCTCTATGGCAATTTGTTAAAAGTGGATGGTTTTGGCAGTATTCTCATGGGTGTTCATGGTTTTCACTACATGAAGCCGTAAGTTTGTCAGAACTGCTTGCTTTAGCGGTAGAATTAATGTTTTCTCAAAACTGATCCGCGTTCATCTAATTTTTTGGCATCGACTGTCTTTCCGTCACTCAGTCATCGCTTTATTCTCCCGTACTTTTTTTAAGTTCCGAAATTGAAGAGCTTTATCCGAATAAATTTCTCCATCTTTCTGACAATCGAATTTATGTGCTGAATACACTGTTCAACCTTCCGGAAACATATCTCGTCGCCTGCATCATCGATTTCTTTGATAATAACCCGAGCTATACACCGTAAGTTCAACAAATTCTTTATTGAAAAAATTTGCATCCCGGTTCTTAAGCAATTTCTGCCGCCATTTTATGATAATGTGCGTTTTTTTCTTCTTTATAATTAAAGTGTTTGTAATCAAAAGTGATGTAGCTGCGCTTAGTGAAAAGACGCATCCCAAGAACAGCATCAACTTGGGACCCCGTATTAATTGTCTATGTGCCCTTGGTTCAGTTGGATAATCCATTCCAAAATTTTGCGACTTTTCAGTAGTACAATTACCTTCTTTTTTTTAGGAACGATGATCGTACGGGAGTGAAAACTGGTGATGTTTACATGTCCTATCGTTCGATATTCCAAGACATTCGAACTTCAGTCGATTGGGTACACTTTGAGGTAAATACAAGCGCAGAGC